TGGTGGTGGTGGTGCTGTTGGTGGTGGTGCTGTTGGTGGTGGTGCTGTTGGTGGTGGTGCTGTTGGTGGTGGTGGTGCTGTTGGTGGTGGTGCTGTTGGTGGTGGTGGTGGTGGTGGTGGTGGTGGTGGTGGTGGTGGTGGTAATGGCGGCGGTGGTGGTCGTGGTCCGTCGTCGCCGGAGTAGAAGTAGCAAGAGCTTTACCAGTAGTGGCAGGAGGAGGAGGAGGAGGGCAGCAGCATCACCAGCACCAAAGACCATCAGCAGCAGGTGGACGCGGAGGAGGACCAGGGGGAGGAACAAGAGTCATAAACTCATAAACCAAGTGACCAGTGCGGGATGTGGCGGCTCTCAGCAAACTTGTACAGTCGCGCAGCACTCGCCGCGCAGAAGCGTGCCTTCAGGTTTCGGGCATAGGTTCAGGCGGTAGTTGCAAGTGCTCCATACCAGCCCGAAGCACGGAAGCAAAGCCCTCCAACACACCCTGAAACCCTTTCCGAAGCTCTCCACAGAAGCACAGACGAGCACACTGCAAGTGTCCGTGACAAATGACGAAGATCCTCGTTTGTAGCTGACCCCTTCTAAGCAGCTGCCCATGCAGGATCCTACTGAGTGACAGATCTCGACAGAAGACCAACCATCGACAATCCGACATGGCCCAAATGTGTTGCAAACCATTGCTCAGAGAAACTAGAATCCTTTCAAAATGCTACAGAGATCTTGAAACTTAAACCGAAACTCCCACACCCCTCCGGAAACTGCCGGCTTTCAGGCTCCCCTCTGGGTAGTAGAGGCCAGCATGGATCACCTGCCCAACTCCGGCTGCGGATAGTGCGTTTTCCTGCAAGTGTTTGCCCCTGCTGTTGGAATGGGGTTCGGCCTGTTTCTTTATCCAATCTTGTTGCACGGCGATGTTTTGATGTGATGCTTACGCCAGACCTGCATCATGAACCTTATGTGCTGACACCCCCAAACCCGAAGGTACACAAGCACAGAAGAATGCTGCAAAACCGTGTAAAGTCTTCAACAAAACCCAGCAAATTGCATAGCGCTCTGCATATCCTAAAGGCGAAACCCTGCATCGCAAACTTGCTTTACATCCTGTGCCACAGAAGCTTAATCTGCAAATGCTTCAAACCCAAACCCTGACATCCAAAACCGTAAGCGCCACAAACCCCCCAAGCCCCAGGCTCGAGGCCTCCAAGCCCTAAACCCGAACTCGAAGCCTAAAACCCGAGGCCTGGCTGTTCCGGCTGGTGGTGCCTTGACCGGCCTGGCGCAACCGCTCCACGGCCAGGACCTCCCCAGCTTCTCGGGGTTTGAGGCCTTGAAGGAGAGGGTTTAGGGTTGCCCCACGCTTCAAGACTTGAAGCACAAACATGCTGCGCGGTCCATAATAACTACAAGACAAAATCTGAAGCTGAAGTCCTTCCAAGACCACCCCAAGACCGCATCACCCCAAGACTGGATCAGCTCAAAAGGCTGGGTCACCTCTGCACGAACCTGACGACAACTCCCTCGTCCAATAAGGGCAGCCCTACAAACAAACAAAAGTTGGTGCACCGTAGCAGCGACAAAACTGAAACACTCACTAAAAACAACCTCAGCAGTAAATGCTACAATTTTTAGAACCCCAAAAGAACCTTCAATCATGTAACCATAACCTCTGCCCCATAGTTTGCATCTTCACTAATACTCTTCCTTCGTCCTTAACTAAGGTTCCTCACTACACCATACCCCAAGCCTTGTATTACAATCTCTTCTTCCCCCACCTCCAACCCGGCTCGGGCCAAACTGCGAGCGGCCGCAGCGCCCACAATGCCGGCTCCCACTACCACGGCACCGACGTGGGCCATAGCCACAAGTCAGGAGGATTTGGACTTTCCGTGTTTGGGGTGAAGGGTTCCCTCAAACCTCAGCCCGAATTCGGCGATTTCTGGTGCAGGAGCTTCGGCTTTCTAGGCTTTACTGCCGTGAGATCGCGAGTTTAGTTCGGGATCACGACTCTGGTTCAGGCCTTAGGAACGTCCTGAAAAACTCCCGTGCTGCGCAAAGTGTTCTGGCTTCCTTCGTTGGGTCTAGGTTGGTGTTCGGGGGATTTAGTCGTGCTCGGGCGTGCGGCGCGTGGCATTCTTGGGGCTTCTGGGATGCAAACACCCTGTCTCTAGGGAGAAGCCCTAAACTTCCAAGCCCAAGACTCCGATTCCCGAGACCCCCGGACCCCCTGAGCCTGAACCCCTAAACCGGAAACTCCCCGAAAGTCCAACAAAAACGCTAATTAAGCCGTAAACCCTGAACTGAAACACGTCTTGCCTTCAACCGCGACTTCCTGAGCTGAGCTTCGAGGCTTGGTTCAGATAAGAGTATGTCTCCAGGGCGTGGTTCAGCGCTTAAAGGGGAGTTGAGATTTTCGGGGTTTGGGGTTTGGGTAGGGTACGTATTTTCAGGTGTCCTAAAGATAGATCGCCGACAAAGACACCCGCAAACCTTATAATACCTGACGGTGAGCCCTTTACCCCCGCCATGTTTAGGCGAGTGCTTGCAAGGCTGGGTTTAGTGCTCAGGTTCAGGGTGTGGCCAGACATGGCCTTCAAACGGATGACTGTATTTATGAAATTTCCAAAGCCCTCCAGCCGCTCCAGCCGATTAGAGGTCTTCATGGAGAATGCCTGGAGAGGACCGCACCCTTTCAGGTGCAGAAAACATGAACAACCAGACCACACCCCCTAGAGTCCGAGAGTAAGCCCTAAGCCTTGAGCTCGATGATGTTCAGGGTTAGGCCTGAGGCGCCATGTCACTGTCACGGTCGGACGTCGCGTGCCAATCAAAAGTCTCCCCACATCGAGAGCCCAATTCGGACCATCAATCTCGTCAGGCACCTCCATGCCATACGTGCGCCCGGAATCGATGAAGTCGCAGCGCTTGAATTCTCCTGCACGCGAAGTCATGTAGCCTGAAAAGCTCCTCCATCTTCCGTCTTCCGTAATGCGCAGGTGGGATGACAAATGCGCGCCCGGCGGAGGTTCAGTTTCGCGGAGTCTCGCGCCGCAAACCACGCAGCATGTCTGAAGTCTTGGCTAGTCATGCAACCAACATGCCCTACCTGGAAGAAGGAAAAAAAAGAACTAACAGACAGACAGACAGACAGCCAGCCAGACAGACAGACAGACACACAGACACACAGAGACACCGACACACGGACAAGCAGGCAGGAAGGCAGGCAGGCAGGCAGACAGACAGACAGACAAAGGTTAGATTAGATGAGATGAATAAGATAGATGGATGGATAGATGGATAGCTATGGATGGATGATGGAAGATGGATAGCTAGATAGCTAGATAGATACATAGATACATAGATAGCGAGGTAGATAGATAGATGGATGGATGATGGAAGATGGATAGCTAGATAGCTAAATAGATACATAGATACATAAATGGACGGATGGATGGATGGCTAGATAGCTAGATCGATACATAGATAGAGAGATAGATAGATAGATAGATAGATAGATAGATAGAAAGAAAGAAAGAAAGAAAGAAAGAAATAATAGATAGATGGATAGATAGATAGACAAATAAATAGCTAGATAGATAGAAAACAGATA